TTGTATGTATTCTACCAACATGGGAAGTTTTTTGAGTATTTTCTACAACTGGAAAATATCTTCACTAGCAGCCTGCATGGAAAATATAGCATGGGTGGCACAATGCTCCCAAAGCTCCCCAAAAAGATGGGAGACACCATTTGTGCTCATACGAAAAGGCATCTGCCTTGGTACCAACAGATCAAGCCTGCCTATGACACTCAGGTAGATCTTCAGAGGAGTCATTGAGATGATTAGATATGTGACAGGTTTGTGTAATCCAGATTGTTTTCTTTTCCAGTTCCTGCCTGTGTTGCTGTAATTCTCAAAACAGGTTACTGCAAAATTAGGTCTGGTCATGTTGTAAATACTCTTGTACGGGCCAGAATGAGATAAAATTGCCATCCATTTTGTTCTGCAAAAGGCACCTATTCTGTTGGAGTCCCCCAGATAGACAAATGGACACTTTTGCCTTTCTTTGTACCTGAAGGGCCAAAACCTAAAATGGGACAGAGTTGGTCCCTAGCTGTTAGGAATTCCCTCTACAGCAAGAGAATAGCAGAGTGATGATTTAATTTTCACTATTTCAAACTGGAAAGACAAGGTAAAAGGCAAAGAGAGGTTGTATTAGAAAACACACAAAGTTAGCATCAGATCAAGGGCAGTAGGAGACTTTAAGACCTCATGATGCTTCGATTTCTTTAGGATGTTCACAGATCAGGGGCAAATGCCTAGCTACATGTTAAAACATCCCTGTCTTTATCTTATGGGTAAAATATTGGTACCAGTAACAATATACCTAGCAGAATATTGATCTCTGGCTCTCTTCCTGTGAAAGAAATAAATGCACTTGTTTTCCTGAAGCTGTAAAATGAGGAGGGACATGCTGTACCTGATGGTTAGTTCACTTAAACTCAGCTGCGGGCTGTGTGTCCAGAAAGCCAGCAGGGCTCAGAGGGGCAGAGCATGAGTTAATGAAGCCTGTCAGAACCCTGATGTCTGACATTATCATCAGGGACCTGACTGCCCTTTTCCTTTCTGTGCATTAACCAGATGAAATCAAATTCTCCAGAGCTCTGAATGCTCAGAAAGCACAGAAGGATTTTGCGGGATTCTGGGATTCTGATTTTTGGCTTATTTCTCTCAATAATGGAAATCAACCTTGAAAAGAATAATTTTCCAGATTCTGCTTTGTGATTAGCCACAGGAAACCCAGTAAAATTACACTGGATAAACAGACAGAGCTATGTGAAATTAATAATTCTCAGCAGCCTGCAGAGAAATGTGAAGAGGATATTAACGACTGGAATTGTTTGAGAATAGCAAAATGAAAGCTTCTAATAACAGACAAAATATATCACAAGCTACAGACTAAGGACTCCTGACTTCACTTGGTCCCAGACACAAAGGCACGTTTTCCTTTTATCTTCAAATGGATGTACAAATGGATGCACAGGATAAGATGATAACAGCTGGCTGCTTCTATTCACTCTTGTTTTGGGACTTATTATTATAGGCTGCCCAGTGGTTTGGTGGGATGCTGACTGCCCTGAAGTCCCACTGCAAACAAGGATTTTGAAGAAGGGATCTCATTACCTCTGGGGTATCTATCAGCTCAGTTTCAAAATCTGTTGTTCAGTTTTCAGACACAGAAATATATCCTCCTCCCTCATTTTATTTTAGGAGGATGTTAATGCTGTAGACAAACCCAGATTTCTACCCTTGCAGATAAAAATATAACAGAAGTAAATGTGTGCGTTTCCCCACTCAGTTCCCTTATTTAATGTGCCTTTGTACCAACCTCCATAACTGTTCAGCCTTGAGTCTCTTTGCTGTGGTGGTTGCACAGCTTCCATGCCAAGCTGCTGGCTGCTTAGAACAAAAAAATTCTTGAGAGACAGTTAAGTTCTTTGATATGTTGCTATCAATCTCTAGAGGCCATGGCTAGAGGAGATGTGTTAGGTAATCTAGTCTGTCTACCTGCTTCCCATGGCTCATTAACAACTTTGCAGAGCATATCCAGTATCGCTTCTTGTGTTTGCACAATGATGTTTAGAACATAGCATACAGAAAGTGTTTTGCTTTGTCTACCGCAAAGCAAACTCCAGTCGTGATCTTGTAACTTATCTGCGCTAGATGCTTTTATTTAAACTACAGATCTTCTATAAGGAGAATTCTGCTCTCATACTGATACACAAAGTGCTCAGCAAAGCACGGAGTGCTCTTCTGCTTTTACAGAAGAGCTTCGGAGAACAGTCCATGTCCCTTCCAGAAAACGAAGGCCAAACACCTTCACTGTAACCCAGATTTCCCACAGCAGCCATGTACTTTTTGTAAGCTTATCAGTGTATAAAAAAAATGTGGGGAAATTGCAAAGCCCAACAGTGAATGATATCTAGGAGAAAAATGGAATTGAAAGAAAGATTGGACACTTCTGTGCTCACAAGACAGTGCAAGAGTCAGGTATATACTGGTGTAGAAATAGCACAAAAAAGGTAGTAAGTAAGTCACAGATATGCACGTGTTCTCTGTGTCTGTGTGTCTCTGTCTCTGTGTTCTGATGAGGCTCCTGGAAGTGATTTTTACACAGCCTGCTTTAGGTAGTAACTCCAATTATCATTTGGACTTATTTTGTTGAGGGACAATGCATTGTTCCCATGAGCAGTTCCTTTTCAAGAGTTGTATCTTTTCAAAACAAGCTCTAGCCTTCCTTGCTTCAGAGATTGTTATAAAATCTTGCGGGAAGGAAAAAAATCACCTCTGGTGGAAATCTCCCTCTTCCTCCTTAAAAAATAAACACAAATAACACAAAGTGCCTGCCCTTTGAAAGTAGCAGACACATTCTAAGTCTGTATGTACTGTATAGGTTTTTCTGTCTCATACAGCTACTACCCTAATTCCAGAAAGCCTTACCTGCATGTACAGAGACTATTTTTGACACCTGTCTGCCACTGAGCTTGAGGCTGGACTAAGAGTTGCCAAATGAATAGAGAGGTTTGGATTTTTTTTCTTTTCTCTTTAAACCCATTCTCCTTGAGGGCTGGTGGACAGTTACTTGAATCAAAGCAGCATGCCCCAAATCAGTATTTATAACCACTCAGTAGTCACTGTGTATATTTTTTCCCCACACTATGAACTGTCCTTTAACGCTGGGAAAGATGCAAACAGAGCTAGTGGGGAGAGGGAGAAACTAAGTTACTGTGAGGATGAGAAAAACAATGACAACTCACTTGAGGAACTGAGCTTCTATGTGTGTAGCTATTTCCCTGTTTGGAGACAGGATTTTATCAAGGTGGTTGAGGACAGATGAGAACTGTGCTGGGAAAAAGTTTGAGAAGCCCAGTTCTGGAAGATCAGCAAGACAGAAAGCAAATTCTGTCTAATAAAATAGCTGTAGTCTTAAGAACAATTCAAAAATTATTATTTTCACTGTCTTAAAATAGTTATTTGTTCCTTCACAGGCAGAGGATAATAATAAACAGAAGAGCTGCATAAACTTTGTACCTTTCCTGTTCTTACACTCCTCCTATTCTTGCTGAGCAAAAAGCAAGCTGTTAAGTGAAGTTGGAAGGCTGCAGAGAAGTTTCCAATGCAGAATTGAGAAGGACAGGGTCTGGCGTACAAACACGTAGGACCCATGGAAATATTGCTCAATATAATGTACTGTTCCCAACCATTTTCTGCTATTCTGTTGCCTTTGTAATTGTATCAATTGCTCGTGGACTTTTCTTCATGTTTATGTAGGCTCTCTAGTTATGCCAGATCTCTCAAGCACTGTTTCTGCATGAAGAGCAAAAAACTTCCACCATGATTAAAACCAGTTTAACACTATGGTACTTGCCCAATGGGATTATTCTATTGCTTAATGAATTTGCCAGTGGAATGCTTTGTTTAAACTTCCTAGAATATTAATCTTAGTGCAATTAGCAATGTTTGCATCTTTCTCCCAAAGCACTATACTAAATTCTTCACCATGAAGAAGAGTGGGAACAGCAAAGAACCACCACTCTGCTAATGAAACTGAGTGACACCTTTGTGTGGCTTTTCCCAAAGAAAGTGCCCTACTTTCATGTGAAATTGATAGTAATAGCAGGAGTGTTGGAAAACAGTGAGTTCTGCCTCCCACATCCAGATCATCGTCATACATATTTTCATCATTAGAGGCTGAGTTGTCAAGAAGAGCCAGACAGAACTTTAAAGTAATTACTACAACTGTTATTGTCACTGAAAACCAGTACCTCTAGACAGAAAAGGGAGCTTGTGCTGCTGCTCTGATTAACATGTTGTCCTCTGGAGTGGAGAGGGTCTGCAGACCAGCCACACCTGGCAATAGCTATGCCTCCTCCTGCAAACAGGTTTAGCATCAATTTATAGATTATCAGATCCAGAAATTGATACTGGAAGGCAAGTACTACATAGCATGCATCTGCCCACCATAGCTTTAAGACTCACTATTTTGAACACAGCCTAGTGTGTGCACACACTGAAAACACACAGGAGGAACTTGTACTTCATCAGAACTGAGCCAATGCTGACCATTTAGTCCATCTGGAAAACTAAGATGTCCAGCAAACATGACATAGAACAATTTCATACAAGTTTATACCACAGTAAAAAATGCACAAAAAAAGCCGACAAAATGCAGAAGAGCTGCTAGAAAAGTCTAAATAGTAGAAAATAAGCACTTTCTATATAAATTTCACTTTCTCTTTGTATTTACTATACTCATGTTGGTCTCTCTTTTATTATATTTCTATACAAAACTGGTATTGGCTCTGTTCTCAATTAAAGCTCTCACCTCCATACAATTTGCAATTGCATCCAAACTTTCTGCCATCAAGACTCAAGATGATTAACTTATATTTCATTCCCATGATTGTGGCAGCACTTAATCAACAAAGTCCCTACCTATATATATTTATATAGATATACATGTATATATACACACATTCAAACATACATACACATGACAAATACTGTTGCAGTTATCCTCTCTTACAGTGTTTGGAGTGGCAGTCATCCTAGAAGGTGAATGCATACACCACTCCCACAACCACAATATTTCCAATTGTTGCTATTATTGCAATCCATAACAATATGGCATCATTTGAAGAACGGGATGTCTCTTCTGGTGGATTCTGCATGGAAGAAGCTGCATGGACGTTGGCTGATGAGTTAAACAAGGAGTACTCTGTACTAAAGTCCTCATTGGGCGAGTCCATAAAGGCTCCTCCCATAACAGGAAGCTGTGAAAAAAGAGATGGCAAAATGAGATTGAAGGTCAGTATCTGTATTTGCTTTGTCTCAAAGTCAGTACAAAACAGTAACCACTAGCAAACCTGCAAAATTCCCGAGATTTCATGTACGTGGTGCTAACCTGTCAGGAATACCACAGACACATACTTTACACTATTTCTTCTATTTCTGTTAGAATCAATACTATTGCAGAAAACCTATGTATATTACCTGGAATATACATAAGAGCTAGCATGCAGGCTCCAAGTCAACCTAAGTGATTACGTGCCCTTAGAAAGAAGAGATACAGCTATCCACAAAGCAATCACATAATAAAATGTAATTTTACAGCAACATGTTTGTTTCGTGACTACCAACAACAGTGTCATATCGCTGTAAGGCATCGAGCAAGCACAGTGAGGATGTGATGCAGAGAATTTGTTCTTCTTTTATGTATTGCTCAGAAGTGAACCCTTGCTTTATGTAGCTATCATGCAAAAACATATGAATTGCAAAAGCTGTCACTGTAAAACAGGTGGAGGGTACTCAGTGCCACTAACTTCACTTGCAAAACACACCATTGCAACAATTCAGGATTTATAAACCCATACAATGTAAAACTTCAAACTGAATTTTGGAAGGCTCCATAGCAATGAAGGAAGTGGCTGATTTTCAACACTTCTCCCACCCTAGACCGCTCCTACTGGTAAGGACAAAGTTTCTTTGGTGCTCTTAGTGGATTTCTCGGTGGTACCAGGAGAAGTTCTCAGTAAGACAGCAGTTATTCAATACAGGAATATGGAAAAGTTACAGAAAAAAGGAAACATTTAATCTTGTCCTTATACAGGTTCCAATTGCCTTCCCAACTTCATCCTAGATCAAAACACATATTCTTAATGATTCAACAACTATTTTATCCTCTACATAGAGGAGTAAAATTACATCCTTCTGCAAATGTATGGATTGCTCATTCAGGCAAGAGAAGGATACCTACTGCAGTACTAAGAATGTCTACTACAGAAAAAGGTTCACACAAAAGCTTTTTGCATCCATCCCTGTCACTTGTATGTCAGAGAATGCAGATCTGGAAGAATCTCCCCAGCTCACCAAGTGCAGCCTCCACAGTCTCATGTAAGTAGAGGACATTGTTTCAGAAAAAGCTGCAGAGCATCTGTTTCACATATCTATTAATGCTCAGGGGACACACTTCTCAATATCCTGTAAAAAGCCAAAGATCTGCTCAGCAACCTCAGGAACGGCAACTCTTATGTACTGCAGGAAGAGCACGAGCAGTGTGGATATTGTAAATCCCTAAGTCTCTGCAGTACTCAGTAACTAAAACTCCTGGAGGACCATAGTAGGTAGGCAGACCAAACCCATGGCTTTACTGGGAAACAAAAGCCCACAGCCCAAATCTCTCTTCCAGCCTCACCAGAGGGAAAAATACCATCATGGTGTTGATACCTGGTTTGATCTTAAGCAATCAGTAAAACCTAGACATCAGTGCACCCTACCTACAATCTTCTTTCAGATCTGGTAGAACTCCAGTGCTTCAAGGAACACTGCAAAAAGTCTGGGAATGTTCTCTCTAAGAAACACCCCTGCTGCAACACCAACCAACATTTCTGTCCCCACTGTGGTTTCCATGCTGCTGTTGTCACCTTCCAACCTCTAGACACAATTACAATCTCCTGTTTTACACCCTATTTGTAAGTGCTTTTGGGTTTTTGGCATTATTTTTCTTCACCTTTCTCAATAGGTCTTTCTTCTACAGTGGAAACCCTCTGA